CACACCACATGGGGTGTGTCGGACACCCTGGTTGTGGGGCTGGTCACACCACATGGGCTATGTCGGACACCCTGGTTGTGGGGCTGGTCACACCACATGGGGTGTGTCGGACACCCTGGTTATGGGGCTGGTCACACCACATGGGGTGTGTCGGACACCCTGGTTATGGGGCTGGTCACACCACATGGAGTATGTTGAACACCCTGGTTATGGGGCTGGTCACACCACGTGGGGTATGTCGGAAACCCTGGTTATGGGGCTGGTCACACCACATGGGGTATGTCGGACACCCTGGTTGTCGGGCTGGTCACACCACATGGGGTATGTTGAACACCACGGTTATGGGGCTGGTCACACCACATGGGGTATGTCGGACACCCTGGTTATGGGGCTGGTCACACCACATGGGGTATGTCGGACACCCTGGTTATGGGGCTGGTCACACCACATGGGGTATGTCGGAAACCCTGGTTATGGGGCTGGTCACACAACATTGGGTATGTTGGACGCCCTGGTTGTGCACACCACATTGGGTATGTCGGACACCGGGTGCGGCTGGTCACACCACATGGGATATGTCGGACGGTCCGATTGTACGGCTGGTCACACCATATTGGTGAATATGGGACACCCCGGTTCTGCGGCTGGTCACACAACATGAGGTACGCCGGACGCCCTGGTTGTGCACACCACATGGGGTATGTCGGACACCGGGTGCGGCTGGTCACACCGCATGGGGTATGTTGGACACCCTGGTTCTGCGGCTGGTCACACCACACGGGTGAATGTTGGAAAACTTAAAATCATCAACAACATCAGAGATTTCAATTTATGAGCCCATGTGTGGTACAAGTGTGTCATGACAAATAAGACGGCGGCTGGCAAGTCAGACTACGAACTTTCGAGTTATGAAGAAGTAGTTTCTATTCATTACGGGGGAAGAATCCCCTTCTGAATAATGCCACTGTGCTTACGTCCTGGCACAGTAGGTGGATTAGCATCCGGGCGTACGGGATGCCCAGTCGTCGAAGGCGCCGCAATTATGTCTTCAGACTTGCGTGTTTTGGGCAGGCCAGAAACCTATGATCGAAGCCCGGTTCGTCATAAATATGTTTCTAGAGTTGTCAGCCACAAACCCTTGCTCTCGGGTTTCAACAAAGTGATAAACGGTTACGAACTGCATTATTTCGGGCTTACATATCACATCAAGCTGATACGCTGTGATATCCCTGGAACACTGTTCTGACCGGGGTTAATCCAATCACTCCTTACGAATCATAAAGGATTTAAAGTCCCCAATGGATAGATCGTTATATGACTCTTGACCTGGGCATTCAATATTCAAGGCCTCTGCAAGGCTTCCATAAATGTTTTGGTTGACATGAGGAGGCTATTTCCAAATTTGACGCATCAGTGACAAAAATAATGTCCTGTCCCTATTTTGACTTGTACCATATTTTCCCGTGCTTTTTCAGGTGAAGAATTGTCTTACCTTTGCATGTGTTTGTATCGGATGTTTTGTTTGTTCACGGAGAAGTGAAAATAAAGTATATAAAAGAGTCCTATAAAGCCTTCAGAAGAGATAGGCACTAGTGAGTGGGTGAGTGAGTTAATATTTAACGTCACATCGGCAATATTGCAGCCTTATCGTGACGAGACAAAATTTGCCTTTAATAATATTTTTGTAAACTGTATAAAATTTTGTCGACAAAGGACAGTAAAACAACTAGATTATCACAGATATATGTTTAAAACTAGTACATAACCATAAAATTTGAAAATTCATAACATTACAATATAAAATTGGGCTATATATCACCAGCAACTAAAGTGAGGTCACCATACTGAGGACCATGGGGACATACAGTACCTTTGCTACCTGCATGGACCCCAGCAGGATTTACACCATCCCTTTAGTCACTAGCGACCATTGACAGGGTTTAGCCGGAGAATTAAAACAAACAAATATACTACGATTAAAACACTGGCAGATATAAAATTACTTTGATTTATGTGGGCTTACTTATCCTCTCACGGGGACAATACTTTAACGCTACTTCAACTCCCTTCGAGGATATAGCCACTAACAATCTCAGTTGTAGTTGCATACAGCAATAAACATATGATACACTCTCTGTGGCGTCATGCACATGTATGCTCGAAAGGAGGATATTTCACATACAGTAAACTACGGTTAAAACGAACACAAAGGGACGGGCAATTTTAGTTCATTATAATCGTAGTTCGCTATAAGCATATTTACAACATATATACAGCAAATGGCCGGAACCAAAAAATAAATTCGTTATATCCATCAGTTCGTTATAACCGTAGTTTACTGTAATGATAAACTGTATACAGGGTTCACACACGCTGGTCACATCTGACAAGGTTATAACCGCCTCCACCGGATCATTGCAACATGCGATCATAACACGTTAAACAGCGAAACAAACACAGTGTGTCCAAAGGATTTTACTGAATCATCATACACCGGACCGCCTCCGTGGTCTTGTGGTAGAGCGTCCGCCCGGAGAGCGGAAGGTCCAGGGTTCGATCCCGGGCCGCGTCATACAAAAAGACGTTAAAAGATTGTACTTGTTGTTACCCTGTCTGGCGCTCGGCATTAAGGGGCTAAAACAAGGACTGGTCGGCTCGGAGTCAGTATACTGTGTCTGAGTGGGGTATTCATGTTAAACTGCGGCATGGTATCTCAGTGAGCTAGCACTATAAATCGGAATCAGTCCGGACTAGTACAAGCAGCCACACACACACATACACGTGCATGCACGTCGCTATATAAGTGCAATAATCTTGGACGCGACGTTAAACCCAATTTCACCTCACCATCATACACCGATTGCAATAACAAGTATACCTTGAATTTAACATATGCATTTTGGGGACAAAAACATTTCTGTTAGGTTTTGACTTTGATCGATGTGTTTTGATATCCTTCATTGTCCTCCTACCTGACCCTTCCTTCACCCCTGTCTCGTCTGTAAATGTCAACACAAAGCACACGTTGTCACTCACCGTATTTCAACCTTGTTATCGTGAAAATACATAGCGTGAATAGCAAAAGTTGTATTTCTTAAAATTGTATTTCGCGGCTGACGAAAGTCGGAAAGGAAATTGTTTGGATTTATTTCTCGACTGATAAAAATGAACAAGTGTCACATGCTGTTATTTTTTTCCAGCGAAGGAGCTTTGTGTGTGTGTGTGTGTGTGTGTGTGTGTGTGTGTGTGTGTGTGTGTGTGTGTTACTTTTACATTAAATCATTTAGTTTCTCTTGACATAAAGCGACCCTAATTCCTATATCTTCTTACGGCTTTATAGGACTCCTTTTCAATAGTTTATATCCACTACTATATGAACAAATAAATTTCTTATGTGCCCCCTGGCGGGGGAAAGTTATAATGCTGTTTTCTAGTACAAACTGTATTGTGTGACAGACGAAAGTCTAATAAATGTTAGCAAGTCTGTAATGTTGTTTTGACGCAACATAACTGTGATATGTATCACTTTTATTGGTGAAAAGTGTTTCATTTATACAAAAAAGTGTATAAAAAATTAAAGCGATGGAGACGAAAATCTGAAAGAAAATTATTTGGATTTATTTTCTCGACCAATAAGTCTAAACAAGTTTCAAATGTTGTTTTGACGCATCATAATTGTAATATGTATCACTTTTATTGGTAGAAAGTGCTTCATTTATGCATAAAAGTTTATAAGAGACTCAAGCGGTGGAGTGGATACAGCGTTTGCTCGTCACGCCTAAGACCGGGGTTCGATTCTCTACATTGGTACCATGCGTGAAACCAATTTGGTCAACAATAATAATGAAGAATAAGCATGTTTTCATGATACTATAACCATGTTGTTTACTGTGTTCATTTCATGAACCTCGCTCATTAGGAATGAAGTTGAAACCATTCAAACGTAGACCTCGTCGGTCCCACTCCACTCTTCTATGACAGAGTCTCCTGTAGCTCCTTCCTACGGTAGGTTCGAAATATTTGTTGGGACTTGGTCAACTAGAACAGACATAACCAATTGTTATCTAATATAAGCTGTAAACAAGAAAGTGACAAATAAGTAGTTGGATTAGGTTGCAATATTTTAAGATTACTCCTGCAATTAGATGTTACATCAGAGATCTTATGCAAAAGAAGTGGGACACCGCAGTGGGTATCAACAAATTACATTGCGGCGTAAAACAACAAACCAACCAAACCAACGATACTTATGATATCAATCACTGAGTTGTCTGGTCCAAACTCGATTATTCACAGCGCTCAGTGCGACGTTTAACAAACAATATCAATATACAGGTGAACAACAAACCAACCAACCAACCAAACACGCAATTGGGATCGATGACATGTATCACCCAAGTCAGCGAGCCTGACCACCCGATCCTGTTAGTCGCCTTTTACGACAAGCATAGTCGCCTTTTACGGCAAGCATGGGATGCTGAAGACCCATTCTAACATAGCTAATAGTTAATGCGTGATACATAACCAATCAGGATATGTATGCAAGAGTGCAACCAATTTCCTCCCAAATATATTACTCTTAGATATGTTATAATTGGTTTCTGCATATTGCAATATTATCACTATATAGAATGTATATCATAGAGACTCCCAAAGCATGTTTATCAATCCCAACCCAAATGTATGCTGGAAAAATCTGTCACAAACTGCCCCTGGCAATTGTTATAAAGTATACCTCCCTGAGTCACGCAAGTATGTGGTCAATGCATGTTTACTTCATTCTGCGATGGCATCAGCCTGCGGACAAAAACAGATATCCCCAAAAGCCACATAAACACTCAGGTATCCCCTTGTTAAGGATTATCCTATTTAGGATACACTGGTACTTGTATATAGATGAAAGCAGGCATAACATTGACCTTGGTGACTGATCGAATTCTTTACTTGTTGAAATGAACCAAAATTGACACAGAATGCTATAAAGTTGTTTGCGTCCGTTCATGCAGGGGGTACATGGAGGTATATAAGACCCCCACAGACATTATTTGCAGTACCCAGCTCTACACCTCGCACAATGCAGATCTACAGGACACCGTTGGCGATTTCTGTCCTCATCTTTGTAGTCACGATCCATCTACCCTACACTCATGCCCAGGGTAGGTACACAGCATTATTTTAGAGAGATTTTCACGTATGTGTATGACGTGCCTGGTCTTCTAACAAATCCTTGTACGTGTAAATGTAAAAACTCACTTTTGGACATTTTATTATATAACTAGTGCATAATATGTTAAAAACATTTCCAGACTATTTCCAATTTATTTTACCTTTGAACAAGGTAGGTAGTTCTATGGATATGAAACTTCATTGTTAAAATGGTTGCGATGTTACGGTGTAGATACTAACATCGTTGGTAAGCAAGTGATCAGAAGTTGTACATCCATTTAACTATCTCCCTTCCTCATTATATCAACTTCTAAATGCCACCCAAGGACTGATTTTTACCTTTACTTTGAATTATTATTTGAATGGGGAACTAGATTTGGTCAATGGATAGTCCAAGCAAATTTGATTCACGTCTCTGGGATAAGAGTTTCTTTGTCAGTTAGTTCAAAATGTAAATATGTATCACTTTTACAGTTATTGATAACCCTAATTACATAGACAGAATACTTAAGTTACATTCCAGAAGGCACAACCGTTTACTTATATTGCCACCAAACAAACTCCAGTGAAAAACGAATGTAGACTTGCTTTGAACAAATTCTACATTCCGGTGCTGATGTGAAACAATACATCCTGGAACCACATGTATAATGTTATAAATTATGTTTCCATGGGAACAGATAAGTGTTGTACATTCTGCTTCATCTCTCGTGGCTCCCATCCCGTTAAGATCCGGGGTAGAATAGGTCTTCGTCAACCCATTCTTACCGTAAAAAGCGACTAACGGGATCGGTCGTCAGACTCGCTGACTTGGTTGATGCATGTCATCATGCCAATTGCGTGGATAGATGGTCGGGATGTGAATTTCGGGATTGTCTGGTCCAGACTCGATTAATTATAGACCGCCGTCATAAAGCTGTAATATTGCTGAGTGCGGCGTTAAACAACAAACAAACATACAAATCTTGTGGCTCCCGATGTTCCAGTAATCATTCGTTAGTACCACTGGCTAGTTAGTACATGGTACAACGTTTAGCCAATATTACAATTAGGCCGATGGAATATCAATTGTCAGCTGCATGTCTACATTGTACGTTACCTCGTATTACCTATACATGTAACTGATGTCCGTATATGTTACTACAGCTCAGTGCGACACCGCGGGCTGCCTGAATGGCGTATGTCTCTTGCCTCCGGCTGTAGCTACCCCTACATGCAATTGTTCTCAAGGGTTTTCGCCAGACCCGACAAACCCAAATGTTTGCAATGGTAAGAAATCCATATTAAATGTCATTATTGCCAAAGGAATTAACATAATTGCATTCTGATTTAAGATGTATTTCGCATAATTTTGACATCATATATGTCAAAGTTTGGATTGGGGACTAAATTCCCTCAAAACATTACCAAACGTAAAATGATTTACGTTAGATTGTGATCAATTTTGCATTCAATTTAGGCGATATTAATAATAACGTCCACGTGAATGCGAAAAACAACTTCCATTCACACTAAACATTCATGTTTCATAATAATATTGTCTATAGTATCAACACTATTCTAGAAACAAATATTTCTTCTAATTGATTTCTTTCATATAACAAAATGTGTATAACATATATGGCTTGGTTTTGTTTTGTTTGTTTGTTGTTTAATGCCGCACTCAGCAATATTCCAGCTATATGGCGGCCGTTATATGGATTGGTAAAGGTATCAAGCCCGAATAATAATAAGTATCAGTTTCCTGACAAATCCCGTTTTTGCAGTATATGTACATGCTAAAACTACAATTTAATAATATTCGTTTCTGAGATCGCAAACCCGTGAAGATGTTGGGTAGTGAAGGTCTTCAGCAACCCATGCTTGATGCTAAAGTCTACTATGCTTGTCGTAAGAGGCGACTAACGGGATCGGGTGGTCAGGCTCGCTGACTTGGTTGATGCATGTCATCGTATCCCAATTGCGTGGATCGATGCTCATGTCTGGTTCAGACTTGATTATTGATAGATCGCCGTCATATAGCTGGAACATTGCTGAGTGCGGCGTTAAACAACAAACAAACAAAACAGATCTCAAAGATCTTCAACTTGCATGTCCAAATGTATTCGTCTTTTTCTTCTTATTATTATTGTGAAAATGTTACCCTTTCTGTTTTGTTTAGTGGCAGATTTTGACGAATGTACTGCCAACCCGTACATTTGTGGCTACGCCTACAATCCGACATACGGTCAATACGGCCCGACTGGCACTTGCGTGAACGCCCCAGGCACCTACTACTGCATGTGCTATCCGCCATTCATGGCCACCTATATGTATAAAAGTTGTTACTGTAAGTACTGTATGTCTAAGAGTTTGGTTTAGCTCTGCTTTTGAACAGTATTCCAGTTATATCACGGTGTGTCAGCTTAATGAGACGTCTCATACGTTTACCTTCGAGCACGGGTATGATGCTGACAAATATACAAACATAAACGTGTCAAATCGGGATTCGAACCCACTTTCATAGTGTTTGGCGGAACCAAGGGCCAAACTCAGCACAAGGCATCTTAGAGAGGAGAGGTATGTTAGATTTTTAGGATTGCTAATTGTTTGGTTGTCGGTGATAAAAAAGTGAGTGAGTGAGTGAGTGAGTGAGTGAGTGAGTGAGTGAGTGAGTGAGTGAGTGAGTGAGTGAAGAAAACAGGTGGACATTACCATCAGTGCCATGCCAGGTGAAACAATTATCATCACTCGTGAAGAAATTATCGCTACATTCTAATTCTCCTATATGTCACATACTGTGTAAATACAGCATTTTCTAATTGTTTACTCAAACCACTTACAAAAATGTCTCACTCTTCTTTTACAGATTACCAACCCCCTCAACAGAACGTATACCAGGATCTTTATTCGTGGTACCTATTCAGCGACGAATTTGACTTCGGATTCGATTAAAATGTCGATTTGAAAATATTTGTAAAATTTCCACCATTTATCTTAATTATACTTTTAGCACCCTTCCCCCATGCATGTATATGTGTAGAAACGTATTGCGCGTACAGCTGTGTGTTCTTTAGTTTGTGTGTCATCAGTGTACTGATATCGTTGTTAACTTTGTTTCATAAATATTCTCGCAAGCAACTTGAGCAACCAAATTGAAGACCGATTTACTTTGTATATATTTCATGTAGCCAGTAGCGTTTACGCCCTTGTATTTTTTACTTTGTTTACATGTCAAATAAAGAACTTCACTCACGGTCGGAATTATATTTATTCTACGAACAACTCCAAAATATATCCCAGTGTACACAGGACAAGCCATGACGTCGAATGTTGTATCACTTTTTCACCATGCTAATACCAATCACTCTCACAATATGCGTGTATAACAAAAATGCACTTATTCGTTGCAGTTCGATTTTACACCGCCACTTTTCACGTATATTCAAGTCATACCATATATTACGCCGACCTGTGAAGATCCGGGGTAGCTACAGAATAAGTCTTGCCTCTCGTAAGAGGCGACTAACGGGATCGGGTGGTCAGGCTCACTGACCTGGTTGATGCATGTTGGATCGATGCAATGTTGATGCATTGCGTTGATCGTTGCTCATGATGTCAATCACTGGAATGTCAGGTCCAGACTCCACTATTTACAGACCGCCGTCATATAGCTTGAATATTGCTGAGTGCGGCGTTAAACAACAAACTAACAAACATAGTACAAAGACTGCTATACAATGGAATCTGACCAAATTAAAAGAATGGCTGCCCGTGAAGATTCCGGGGTAGAATAGGTCTTCAGCAACCCATACTTGCCGTAAAAGGCGACTAATGGCATCGGGTGGTCAGGCTCGCTGTCATGGTTGATACATGTCATCGATCCCAATTGCGTGGATTGATGCTCATGATGTCAATCACTGGATTGTCTGGTCAAGACTCGATTATTTTACAGACCGCCGTCATATAGCTGGAATTATGCAACCCCTTTAAGACTTAAAGCTAATTTTCGAGGCACGGGTGGCCCAGTCGTCTAAGGCGCCGCGATTCGCTGTGCAGAGTTGCGTCCCTTGGGCATGCCAGAAACCTATGATTGTGGGTTTGAATCCCGGTTCGCCCCGATTATGTTTCTACGTTTGGCAGCACTTCAGATCGGCACTTCACAGATCTCATGCTAGTTGCCCTGGAATCTCCATCGGTGGAAGAATTTGATCCAACTGATTCAATCAATCATTGGAACAATTCTTCCACTAGATCCAGAAGACCAGTCTTCATGGAAAACCAGGGTACTAGCAGGAGATCTGTTTCTGTAGATGGTGATAACAACAATGCCCAAGCTGAGGCGGAGTCTCTCCAGGAAATGCAGCAGATGGAGTCCAGAGCATTTCGCATGCTCCAAGCTGCATACACATTGGCAAAAAACATACATGTTGATGCTCTTTGTGGGGGTGATCATTAATGAGCTCGTGACGGAAGTCATCATGATGTGTTTGTCACTCAAGATATTAGAGATTTAATGTTACTTCTATTTCATGATATTATAATGTTTTCATACTCTGTTAATGGTCTACAGAAACAATTGAATGTATCACATTCTTTTTGAAGTTGATGGGGATTGAAAGTTAAATTGTCAAACGATGTTTAACAATAGACATAAAAACAAGATGTTAATGATCAGTCTTATACCTTCATAGCCATATTGTTGAAACATATATTCTCTGTCAGTTTTTATATGTCATGTATATCACGTGACTAAACCAATGAATTTGAAAATATACCAACTGTACAATGGGCCATGTGGCCTAAGATACCGAACACAATATCTATATATCTGTTAATGATTTCCTGGTTGTTTCTTTATTTAAAACTTATAAGGACTACTTAAAATTAGAAAGGACTAGTAATTTTTTTTATCCACTAGTCCTTGTGACCAATTTCAGTTAGTTTCTACCGCTGCCTCCACAATTAGAACAAGTTGTTCCTATGGCAGGGCATTTCTGTTTGATGTGGTGCGATCCTCCGCATGATCCACATTGCTGTCTATCTCTCTGTATGGCATGAATTCCATTCTGTTGAGTGTGAACATTCTGTAATTGTGCCATGTGTGTAATTGATGCTTCATGAGTACGTCCACATCTCTAATGTAAGGGGATGTTCCTTCCCTAGCAGTTCCTTCTGTAATTCAGGATACCTAGTGCCAATAATTAACTGTTCAATAAGCCTCTCACCAAACTCTGCTTCTGTAAATCTGCACCTGAATGCTTGTAGTTTACTTCTTGTAACAAAATCATCAACACTCTCATTTTCTCCTTGTCTGTATTTCTGTAGATTAAATCGTTGAACACAAAAGTTTATCTTAGGCTCTAGCTGACTCTGAAATTTGTTCCAAACTACTTCTGGATGATTCTTTTCTTCTTCTGACAAACACCATGAGTCGAACCTCTCCAAGCCTTCATCACCGGTATACAGTAAAATATAGTCAACTTATTTTTCAACTTTGGTTTCTTTCACGGAAAAATAAAGTTCACATTTCTGACGAAATAATCTGAAAGCTCCCACTTGGTCTGGGTTAGACCAGTCAATCTTAGTTCCAGAATCCATATTGTTGTCAATGATCAAGTCAAAAGTTCAAATGGTTATAAAATGTCACTATTATGAAGTTTCCCGATGGATACGTGTGTTTGTTTACATTTTTCCGGAAGAGGAACTTATGTCCGGTAAGTCATATCCGGCAATCCTGTGAGGTCAATTTACTCTGATGCTTGTTACTTTTCGCGGGGTTTTCAACCAACGTTCTGAGATATCATGAAAGTTCCAATAATACATCTTTAATTCAAGAAAAGTGTTCCCAATAATCCAGTTCTAGTGAACGATGATATTTGTTATGACAAGTATTCATTTACACCGGTAGATTGAATGATTTTGATTACAGTTCCAATGACAGATTCTTCAAAATGGCGGTGCGTCGTTACGGACGACAGTTCATGTTCAGAGTACATACATTTCTTACTTACTGCGATACAGTGTTATTCCAATCCATGAATATCCTTATGAATGCCTAAGAATATATTTCACACTCGCGCACAATTTCAAAGCACGCACTGATAGGCCTAATTGATTTAAGATATTTGATAGATCTATTCCGTCCCCCTGTCAGCCCAACGTCTCAGTTGTGAGTCCCCTAATTTTGTCTGTTTTTCCAAACGATGAAAATTCTGCAATTTCAGCACCATCACTAATCCTAAATGATCAAACACACAGGGTGACGAAGCCAAATTTCACAGATGAAACCAAACTAAACTAGTATCCTGACGGATAATTATGGATCATATATTATTATAGGTATATTAATGTCAATCTGTTACAACGGAGGTGATTCCGGGGTAGAATAGGTCTTCCGCAACCCATGATTGCCGTAAAAGGTGACTATGCTTGTCGTAAAAGGCGACTAAAGGGGCATGCAACACATTGCATCGTGTGAACGGGCAAGTCGGTCCAACTTTTGACGCATGCAACTTGTTGGACGTGAGTTGTACGGAATAGGACATGCTCTATTTTCATGCGACAAGTTGTATGTACGCAGCCAATCAAAACGCGTATCCAAATCACTTGATATTTTCACCTCCAAATGTAAACAATCATGGCGACCCCAGCGTCCCGCTTGAAGAAAGTTCAGATGTCTAGAGTGGAAACGGAGCGGTTTATCGGCTATTATGCGTCCCATGATTGCTTGTGGAATGTATCCAGTCCATTTTATTCCATGCGGGAACACCGACAAGCAGCCTACATCTCTATTGCAGAGATGATGGGTAATGGGATGACAGATGAGAATTCATGAACATGATATGCGAAGTATCAGCTGATAACACACGGCATTTGTAGAAGCTGTACTCGTTTTCGGGCATTACGACTAGGCGGAAATTGTTAATTTGGGACATTTGTACACATAGAAGGGTCAGATAACGATTTCATACTTCTAATTCATTGTTTTATGTGATGAACTATGACCTCTTACTTCGGCGATTGATAGTGTGTGTAAAACGTGCGTCTGCTCTTCGAGCGTGTTCAGACAGATCAGCGAACATAAAATGAATCAGAAATACGTGTTCAGCTTGAAATGATGTTGAATTTGAGAAGCTATATCTCCTACTATGGGCAGTCACCGATATATGTTATTACAACCCTTTTTAAATGTCGATCCACGCCTTTCTGTTTACACTATTTGACCTACATGCGAGAGGCTCCATTGGAGTGATACATGTCATGCTAATGTTGGAATAGAGACCGCTTAAGTATGTTATTCTATGAAATTATAAGGAATATTCCGGCTCAGTGATAAATTATATTTTATCTGAATATTTTACAACAATGAAATCTTAACAATCAATCATATTGTACAGCTGCATATATACACACAAAAATCATTTAAATTATATTAGCAACAATTCATATCACAGTTACTTCCAAGTTGACATATATTTCCATGATGATTTTCAGACATGATCATAAAGTACATGAGCGTATTCCAAATAACAGTCTTACAAATAGTCTTACTGTCATGTGTGTGTGTAATCAATCATAATGTTAATTCCACACAGTTCTCACATTGTTCACACTAATTTTCCAACTCAAGTTCATGTTTATTTATGTTCTTATGTAATAAACCTAAATTGCTCTTTGTTGTGTATCTTAATCTAAAAAAATTCAGTCCCTAAATGTAATATTGAAATTCATGCACTCTATCAGTAAACATTGTAAAAGAATCCAACTATCCGTCACTTTCTTGTTTCCAGCATTTGATACATATATGACAATATGTATGTCTCTTCTAGTTGATCAAGTCCAAACTAAAGTTTCTACCTTACGAACATACTATGGTAAGGAGCTGAGGAAGGAGACCCTGTCCAAGAAGAGTGGAGCAGGGACCGACGAGGTCTATGTTTCCACATGGGAATGGTTCCAACTTCTGGATCCATTCCTCAGGAGGAAGGTTCATCAAAAGAACACAGTTAACAACATGGTTGGTGTCATGACAATAGGCATATTGCTAAAAGCGGCATAAAACCATACTCACTCACTCATTCAAATGAAGATTGTACTATTTGTGCTGTTGCTGAAGTGGGAACATATGAATGACCATGAAATTAAAGAACTGTCTCCATCTGTACTTGTGGTACTATAGGTAAAGGGTATTAGAAATATAACTTTAGATGACATGGTCCCATTGCCACTGAACCTGACCATTTGTAGAAAAAA